GGGCCGTCTGGGAGGTTTCTAGAGGTCATCCTTGGAGCCTTGGTAGACTGCCCGTGCCGTCTTAGAACGTCCTGCAGAGCATCGGAGGCCCTTGGGTGCCGCCTGTGGAGCCTCTGGAGGGCCAGGGATGCACGCAGCCGAGTGCGGCGGGAGGTGGGCATCGTCTTTCCAGAAGACCTGCAGAAGCCTTAAGCCGGGCCTGTCCCTCTACAGGCGGAATAATCAAACATAGTCAACAAATAGTCAGGGGACTATTTTTTAATCATTTTAGAATCTTTTTGGGACATTTTTTGAGTATTTGTTTTTCCGTCCAAAATCCGCCTGTAGGGGGACAGGCCCGACCTAAGAGAAGCCCTGCCACGCAGCACTTTGCACTGTACCACGCCTCAACGTACCAGGGGGCGCGGTGGCAGAACAGCTTTGACGCGGTTGCATGCCAAGCTTTTTAGGCTACAGAGCCCCGCGTGACCAACCGAATTCGAGCTCGGTGCAGGCCGGGGCGCTCCGTTGTCCAGACTGGGCACGGCGACCTCGCGCTCCCGAGGCGTTTGCCGCAGACCGCCCGGGAGGCGGCTGTAGATCGCACCACATGGAGAGCGTTTTTTGTTCCCGTGCGATAGCGGGCGTTGGGTACTACCCTGGAGGGGTGGGAAGGGGCCGACGTCACGTTTCGCGCCGGCACCGTCTGGGATTGTCTAGTCAGGGGCAGCGATAGGGGGGGATAGGCACAGGGGGGGATGCATCGACCCCCAATCGCCCATTAATCGCTGATAGGGGCCCGATAGCCCCAACCTGCCCAGGAAGTTGCGGATTCACCATCGGAGGCCTATCGCCGATCTATCGACCTTGTATCGCCAATTCCAGGTCGATGCCTCCCCCTATGCCCATTCCCCCTATCGTTGCCCCTCATCTAGGAATAGCCAGCGACAAATTGGAGGTTAGCACGAATCGTGACGTTACCTGGGGGGGGGGGGCTGGGGCAGGATGCGGCCGCGATTGCAATACATAAAAAACGCTCTCAGGGATGCGGGCACCAGTTCCCGACCCGCGGTCGTCGGATCGCCTTCTGTTTTTGTTCCTGCCCAGTCGTGGCTCCTCGTGTCAAAAGCACGCCGAGACCGTGCGTCGCCGTGCTGCTGCCCCCCTCAGCACCCTGGTGGAGAGGGCGTACGGAGCCTCTCTTCCTCGGGGCCCGAATTCTAGATTGGACGGCCGGCATCGCGTGTAGGATGGCGTCCAATTGCTCAGTTCTCCAGTGTCTGCTGCATGCTCGAGCCAGCCTCCAGTTGAGGTTGGCCGTCTTTCTTGGCCAGGACGTGCGGCACACATACGTATTCCGCAGTGTTGCGAAGCATCGCCGTGAAGAAAGCACAGCGTGGTAAACAAACTGCCACCAGAGCTCTTCATCCCACCTTTCTGCGGCATCGCTCGAGCTGGATTGGTCCTAGGTGAACGAGCAATGACATAAACATAAAACTCGGAGGTCCGCGCATATTTCTCGGGTCCGCGCTGGATCCCTCTGGCGGCGCCTCCGGCGCCGCCCCTGGCGCGCTCCGCGCGTCAGGGAGGGGGTCCAGCGCCGATCCGAGAAATTTGCGCGGACCTCCGAGTTTTTATGTTTCTGTCATTGTTCGCTCCCCTGGGATTGGTCCATAGGGTTCCGGTCCCGGGTCCCGAATCCCGGCGAAGAGCGCCCCGCGTGATGGCGGGTAGACCCTCGTGCGGCTGCGATTCTCAATCTGCAGTGCGGCGCGACTTCGAGGTGCGGCGTTCGCCGCTGATTCTTCAGCCGTTCCCTGCTCGGGACACCCTCTGCATGTTGACAGCATCGGACGGGGCTGGGACGAGGATAAATCCGTTCCAGAACGTTCCGGAACGCTCCCAGAGCGCTTTGGCACGCTCTGAGAAGGCCGCGGCGCCGCCCGAGGCTTCCTCCAGTGCCGCTGGGTCTCCGAGGTTCCCGATTTATCCCCACCCGGTCTTATCCTCGTCCTGGCTTTAAGTCGGGCGCGTCCCGATGATTTTCAGAGCATTTGTTTGGCTACTTCGGGGTATGCTCTGAACATACTCGTTTTTTTTTCCGTTGAGCATCGGCCTGTAGGGGGACGCGCCCGACCTAGTCCTGGCTCCCTTGGCTAATCAGGCGGCCCGCGGCCGTCCCCATCCCTAGTCCGGATAGCCTGCCGACGAGGTGTGAGCGTCCTTGCCGTCGTCATGGATGCCTCTGCAGACAAGGCGCTGACATCAGGACCACACCGGGTACGGGAAGGGCTCTAGTTCTAAGGCGGGCCCTTCCCTCTACAGGGGGAATATTCAAAAGTAGTCAACAAAAATAGTCTGCGGACTATTTGTTGAGTACTTTTTGACCATGTTGGGCAATTGTTGGAGTATCTTTCAATGTTTCGTCGAAAATCCCCCTGTAGGGGGACACGCCCGACTTAACTCTGGTTTTATCGAGACTGGTTTTATCGAGATAGAAAAACTGCATAAACAAAAATTCTTTTGGCGCTCCGCGCAGGGTTCTTGGATCCGCGCTGGGCCCCCCCCCGCGGCTGCGCGCCCCCTTGCCTCCTCCTCCTGCTGCTCCTCCTCCTCTTCCTCCGCCTCCTCCTCCTCCTCTTCCTCCTCCTCTTCCTCCTCCTCCTCCTTATCCTCCTCCTCCCCCCTGCTCCTCCTCCTCCCCCATGCTCCTCCCTCCCCCTTCCGTCTTCCTCCTTCTCCTCCTTTCTCTTCTCCTTCTTCACCGCCTTTCCCTCCTCCTCTTCCTCTTATTCCGTTAGGCAATCATGAGCGCCTCTTCCTCCGTCTCCTCTTCTTCCTCCTCATCATCTTCATCAATATCATCACCACCACCATCATTATGATCATCATCAGCATCAGCATCAGCATCAGCATCAGCATCAGCATCAGCATCAGCATCATCATCATCATCATCATCATCATCATCATCATCATCATCATCATCATCACCATCACCATCACCATCACCATCACCATCACCATCACCATCACCATACCATCACCATCATCATAATCATCATCATCAGCATCATCATCATCAACAACATCAACATCACCATCGTCATCATCACAGCTGTTTTTGGCCCAGGCGCCTGCTTGGCCCCAGAGTTCAGTGAGTGCACCTGCGCTCTCTCGATGTTCTTTTCCTGATGGTGGTTGTTGCTCGCAATTGCTGGATCCGCGAGACAGTTGCTGCAGTCAGTGCCACCACATCGTTCGTCTTCTCAGCTGCTGCGGAGCGCGGACGTGGCAAGTGAAAAGTGCTTGTTCAGCACGGACAGTTGCAGGCGTCACCTCTTCAATGTCAGGTTGCTCTTGTTTCTCTGGATGCCTTGGCAAAGTTGGTCAACACACACACACATGTTACGGATGTCAGGTGCCATCACCACATTAAGGTATATGGCAGCGACATCTGCTTCCAGTTTAGCATAGCACATGTGCACATATTCATGGTATTGTTGACTCTGCTGGCCCTGAGGATCCAGGAAATTCGGGGGCGGTTCGGACGCGGGTGATGATCGAACTGGTTTCCGTCGCCGTGGGAAACAAGGCTTCTGTGTGGTTCCTGGTGTTGTGCGCGAAGTTCGTAGAGGGACGGGTTCGTCGTACTCGCCTAGTGGTGTCGCTCTCGAGCACAAGTCTTCTTTCAATCGGGTCAGGAGCTGTTCAACAATCGTCTTCGCTCACGCCCTCCGATTGTCCTTCTGTTTTTGCTGACTGTCCAGGCTTTGAGAAGGTCTGACCTGACTCTTCGGAAACGTGCCTCTGTCATCGTGGGAGCGCGGGCAGTGGTCCAATCTGTTGGGACACATGATACTTGCAGGTACGTGCAGGTCTTTCATGCTAGGTGCGCAGCTGCTGCGGTACAGAGGTTTATGGTTCTATGCGCGTGTTCGCTTCTGCTCCCCTGTGCCACCGTTGGACCGTTGCGCGCCGAGCGTTCTGACATGGATTGTGCTGACTTGCAGTGCTCATCTTTGAATTGGGAGTCGCGTAAACGCGAAGAGTGTCAGCAGCGTTGGCGGTGGGGTCTCCATCGCGCTGCGGCCGTGTGCGTGGTCGATGTGCTCGAGGAGCGGCTGGGACCAAGGCGGCTAGCTTGTGGGTATGTTGGTCCACTCCTGGGGCGGCGCGGGGTCAGCTGGTGGCTATCATTCGCGAAGCTGGCACGCGGTGTACCCTGAAATGCGCGTTTCTCTGAGATTGTGGGGCTCGTGGTCCGAGGCACAGATCTCTGCAAGTGCGCAGTGTGATCGCCAATCTTCCCGATCGCCTGCACTTGTATGCGAGCTCAGATCATGCACGCTCGTTCTCTGTTACTCGTGTATTGACTGCTCACAAATTTCGTTACCATTGTTGCCGTGTGCTGGTCGGGTTTGTGATGCTCCTCTGGCTCTCGCCAGTCCGCCGCCTCGGCGGTTCTCCTCGCTTGGCTATGCCGCCTCCCTCTTTCATTCCTTCTTTGGCCTGTTTGTGCACCTCCCGCCTTTGCTCCTTTGCTTCGGCCCGCCTTGCCCCGCCTTGGCACTGTGGATGTTCCTGCGATGTCGCCTGCTCACCAAGTCTTGAGTCGTCCTCATCCAATGAGAGACTTGGTGGGCTACAAGACAAGTGGCCCAAACAAATCTATCACCACCACGATCGTAGTCATCACTATCATCATCATTATCATCATCAGCAGCATCATCAGCATCATCACCATCACCATCAGCAACATCAGCAACAACATCACCAGCGCCATCATCACCATCATCACCATCATCGTCAGCAGCAGCAGCAGCGGCAGCAGCAGCATCATCACCACCACCATCATCAACAACTACATCACCAACACCATCGTCACCATCATCATTTCTCCTCCTCCTCCTCCTCCTCTTCTTCCTCCTCCTCCTCCCTCTCCTCCTTCTCCTGCCACTCCTCATCCTCCCTACTGTTCCTCCGTCTCCTTCCGCCCCTCTCCCCTTTCCCCCCCCCCAGTG